AAACGTTCTGGCTTCTCTTGTTAGCAACCGCTAGATACCAAGGACTGTCTTCGTACGCTCTTTGCGTTATTGACTGATCATTGCAATGTCATCGTTCCAGCGGAATTGCTGGGCAGCTAGTCACTGGCGGGATGGATAAGCCGTGTCGCAATTTTAGCCATGCGCCAGTCGTCGGCCCCATAGCTCCGGTCGCCACCTCCATGAGCACCTCGGCGCCTGGCTCTCGCGCAGATTACTTCTGCTGTGGCAAGTTCAAGTCCATCAGTATCGTGTCGTAGATTCGAAAAACGCCCAGTATGGCAAAGAGAGGAAATTGATGCGGCGCCGGTTAAATGGCTAAAGTCCAACCTTTTGTCATTGGGGCGGGACGCCCACACGTTATCCTTCACGCTAAAATAGGAAACGATAGATCGTGGCTTTACGGGTGGGCTAAATCTACAAGGCTTCTCTCGTCGTCATTCATCGAGGGTTGCGAGATCTGCCGGTGAATGGAGGTTGGGGATAGAGACTGCGATATGGTTGCAGTAGCTGGCAGACACTGTCGCAATAAAAGGGCTGTTGGCTTGACGTGGAGAAGATGCGCGATATATTGTTGTGCATGTTGATCGCTGTTCACAGTGTTGTGGGTCGCGTCAATCAACCACGGGCGTGGACCCTGAACGGCCCGGCAACCAGGCACTTCCCCTCACTTTTCGCCATCACTCCTTCAATCAACATCAACACCATCATCAACGCCATCGACTCCTCGGATGGATGGAGTGGGCGCTTGAGGCTGAGCGCGAATTCATATTACCCGGCTAGCTTCCATGGACGCAGCTATACCTGCATCCACGTTCACGACATGAGTGGGACCTGCATCTCACGTGCTTCCTCACCCCGGATGTGCATTTCGCTTAGGCAATGGACAGCGGCGCCCAGAACGTCTACCCCAGAAGCAGGAGCTGGCCCCGATGATCCCGAGGTCCAAGCCGGTTGATTTGTGGATTAGTCTGGAGAAACTCCGCAACCTGCAAGCAGGTGGCGCCATGCAGCCAGGTCAAAGGACTCGCAGCAACGAAGGGCACGTTTGCACATGAGCCACGAGCCCGGTTAAACAAAAAGACTGGGGTGAAGACGAACCGCGAGAGCGGATAGATAGATTGAGCATGCATACGCTAGAGTTCTAGAATAACCGCAGAAGAATATATAGCATAGCAGGCCGGTCCATTGTTCAAAGGTATCCGTGGCAGACAACTTCGAATCAGTCAACACTCTCGAAGTCTCAATCAACATGCGTTTCTCAAGTATCGTCGCCAGCCTGGCGCTTGCCGGCTCTGCCGTTGCCAGCCCGTAAGCAGCTCGTGTTTCAGTCATAACGACGACTCGCTAACATCTACATAGTACCCCTGGCCATGGCAAGGACAATGACAGCCTTTACAAGTCCATGAAGAAGGCAGGTCGGGAATTCATTGGTACCGCTCTGACTCTCCGCAACGAGACTCGTGAGGGCGAAATCATCAAGGCCGACTTCAACTCCTTCACCCCCGAGAACGCGATGAAGTGGGAATCTCTTGAACCATCCCGCAACAACTTCACTTTCGAGGATGCCGATCGCTATGCGGCATACGCCAAGAAAAACAACCTCCAGATTCATTGCCACAACCTGGTATGGCACTCTCAGCTGCCTCCCTGGGTATCGGAGGGCGGATTTGACAACAAGACCCTCATCGGCATCATGGAGAACCACATCAAGAAAGTTATGACCCGCTACAAGAGCGTCTGCACACGTTGGGACGTAGTTAACGAGGCTTTGAACGAGAATGGTACCTACCGCTCTAGTGTCTGGTATGACACCATCGGCGAGGCCTTCCTCCCCATTGCGTTCCGCCTCGCCAACAAGTACAACGGCCACGCCGATCTCTTCTACAACGACTACAACCTTGAGTACAACGCGGAGAAGACCCAGGGTGCCCAACGCATCGTCAAGCTCATCAAGTCTTACGGCGTCAAGATCGACGGTGTTGGCTACCAGGCTCATCTTGCTAGCGAGTCCACTCCCACTGCTCCTGGAGCCGCTCCCGACCAGAAGACTCTCGAGGCTGCTCTTCGCGCGACTGCCGACCTTGGCGTCGATGTTGTCTACACCGAGCTCGATCTCCGCATGAACACTCCTGCTACTCCCGAGAAGCTGAAGGTCCAGGCTGATGCTTACGAGCGCGTTGCCAAGTCTTGCTTGGCTGTCAAGCGATGCATTGGTATCACTGTCTGGGGTATCTCCGACAAGTACTCTTGGATTCCTGGTGTCTTCCCCGGCGAGGGTGCTGCCCTTGTGTGGGATGACAACTACGAGAAGAAGCCTGCGTACAAGGGCCTTCTCAAGGGTATCCAGAGCAAGAAGCATTAGAAGGGTGTCAGGAACGATGGAATTATTATGTAGATATTGAGTAATCTGTACATTGTATCAAGACTCGGGTTCACTATATCTGATGACTAACATATTCTCACGTTATGCTTTTCATCTCCGTCAAATGCTCATGTCCACGCAGAATCATGTTGTTTGTAAACTCCTCTTCTACATTACATCATCACAGCGTCGACTTCGATTACTACACAACGTTCGCATCCACTGAGTACATTTAGTCGTCGCTTGAGTATGCTTTGCCATCTGGACAAGGGATGAACTGGCTATCGTTAAAGTAGATATCACCATCAGCTGATTATATGGTTATCTCATTGCCAACTGAGTAAGTCTCGTTGTCGTCGGTGGTAACTACGTTCGCTGCCCAAGCTTCGACCGTTCCAATGTTCAATTCGCTCGAGGTTTGAGTTCTGCGCTGCATCAGCTTCCGGGTGTCTCCACAACTTTCCTTTGCTACAATCTTTTCCGTCGTCTCGACATCCCACTCGTTCATTCAGCTTTTCCACACTATATCAACCATATTCAAGATTGTCTCGTATGGCGGTATTCTGATATGGTCGCCTAGGATGATTCTTGCACAGCAAGCCACGACCATTCTGCGATCGTTTCAAATGGTATGTGCGCGTAGTTTCTTCGAAGCAATTGCGAGTTTGTAGGTGGTGCTACCCATTTTGGCATCGAGAAGGTCCCGGATATAAAGAGACTTTCCAAAGAGTTTGCTTGGTGGGCGTGGGAATGATTACAAGAATACGCCACATCTCTGGCCTGTTCTGATAGCTAGTAGTTGTGTTAAGAATTTCACTCATCGTCTAACATGTTGAGTTCGTCGTCAAAGACACGGTGAAGAGGAACAAGCTACTAAAGACAACACCTGCGGGGTTGAAGCGACAGGGAAGGTGAGTAACTGTGGAGATCCCCGCATTGATTTACAACTACGTAAGTAGACCATGGCTCCAGTGCCGCCTTCAGGAACGATGTATACAAAGCTTCATACGCTGGATTCCTCCGCTGTGCTCATGAGACCTAGCCCAATATCGATCCAGTCTTGCCAAAGCCGATCCGAAACCTGATAGCAATCCAATCATGCGAGATTCACTCGTAGAATTCGTTCTCTAAACAGTCTCCGAGCTAGCCACGCTAGCGAAAAAGGCGTTCAAGACTCCTTCGGTACGACGTTTACTGAGGCCAGGATGGTTCAGCTCATAAGCTACCGCGGCTTTGTATTCTGCTTGAAAATCGTTGGTGTCAACGAATATGCGAACCACGTCGTCCATGAATTTGAGAAGCTCCAACTTGGCTTTGTTGAAGTGCTCTTCGTCCAGTGCAACCATTTGGGACAGGGTGAATTCAGACGCAGCGTGCCAGTCGTCGTTGACCGCACTAGCAAGACACTCTGCTATCTTTCCAGCAACACCACAGGTCATAGTCGGATTTCCGTGAATCTCACTCGCCTTCTTGAGTGCGGCTTTGTGAGTACCGAAAGGAAAGACCTGATCAACCTCTTGTGTGAAACGAGATTGATATTCCTTCCAGGACCACATTGCTCGATGGATACCAAACTGTGCGCCGCTGATATCGATGACCCATACTTTCTCTGTCTTCGTAGATGTGACGCGAAAGATCTCGTGTTTGTGTTCGGGTTGGTATCCGGGGTAGCCATGACGGTCCCCGTCGTTGACAATACGGGTGATCACCTTGTGGACATGTGGTTTGAGAACTACGCGGATTTCCTCGATCTTAACGTCCAAACCTACAATGGGTTAGTGATTTGCCTTGCGATGAGTTCAGTAGATCTTACCTTTCGTAAGCTCCCCAATGATGCTATACATCGAAGCTGCGGGCTCGCTGCGAACCATCGCACAGAGCATAGCGTTCTCGGTTAGCTTGTCCGAAACCAGATACTGAGGAAATTCGGGGATGTATTTTGCGCGGCTGACAGTGAGTAGTATACTGATGTACAGTACCAAATCATCATTCCCAAGACGGTCCACCTTCACGATAGGTATGTCCCAGGTATTCTTGCGGAAGCTGTAATAGCCTTGTTGAACGATATTTGCGACGCGAGTAAGCTTCTTCTCAAGGTTCGCGTTCTGGATGTCCTTGCAAGCCTTCTTGTGAGTCGGCCAATCCTTCACTTGACAGGCTTTGCCGCAGTAGTGACGCGATGAGGTATCCAGCTTGCAAGCACCGCATTTGTTGTGAGCGGGCTCGCCACACACGACGCACGCTGCTTCTGCTCCTGTCTCCATAGTCGGGGGGTTTGTCTTCGAGACCGAGATGTATGGTTACGTGGTAGTCGCAATGCGGGTCAGTGTGTGCGTTCTTGTCGTAGCGAGTTGCGCAGGTGAAGGCGGGCGATATTTGTTCCGGTCGTACGCGACAACGAGGTGAAGGTGAGTCGGAAGGCGCAAAACACCCAGAATGGCAGCTCAATACGTTAGCTCACATAATGTAGAAAGTTCACCATGAGAGACCTTTGTGGACTATCTCGAGAATGAAGGCGCGAATACAAATGGTGATAAGCAGTATAGATTGACTAGAGGATGTTACAACTTATGTCAGGTCTTTCCCAATTAGACCATGCAATCTAAACATACCTTACCTACCCCAAGTTCGTCGACCTTATTGCCGCCAGCACAAGATCTAGTTGCGGGCCGCTGAATTGATTCCTCAGCTGCAACAAGTATTGGGCTGCATCAGTCTCAGGAGCTGAATTATCTGCACGCTCCGCCGCCGTTCTTACGTCAACAAAGATGTGGCGATGAGCCACTTCTTGTATCATGCCCTCACAAACAATTCGATCAGTTTCGCGATGCACGGCATGCAGATACTGTCTTGGATCGTAACGTGCGACGTATCCACGTACAGCCTCAGTCAACACATTCGTCAAAGATTGTTTCCAAGCAGAAGAAACTGTGCCGGGTCTACGAACGATACTTGCCAGAGCGTTGCCGGGCTGCCGTAGAAAATTGGAGAGTACTTTTCGCATGAGCCACGCAATGGTCAAGTCAATTTGTGTCAAAAACGAATCGGATCTCTGGATTCTGGCGCAAGCCTCCTCAAATTCTCTGCATTTTCCAACGTTGAAAACTCGGCAAAGCCTCTTGAGGTGAACCGATTCGAATTCTGCAGCCGGGAAGATGTTTTGCGTAAGTCCGAAATCGGTGCCAGACGGATTCATGTACCAACGCTTACCACTCCGCTTGTGAGTGATTCGTAAAAGCATGAGCCTGTGAAAAGGCCAGTTCGATCTTTTTGTGCCGTTTGCATGCACAAAAGTAACGGTTCGCAGTGGGTCTTTCAGCTCGACCTCAACTTCATGGAGATGAAATTCGCTTTCTAGGATAGTATTAGAACAATGATTGATTGCAAGGGGTTGTGAGTAGACTCACGCTTGATAAGCTGTGTAATCAAGGATTCCGTCAACACTAAGGGCATAAAAGGATACCGAAAGCACATGAGCGCATGTTCAGCGACCTGATCTGGGAACCAGACATCTGAAAGATCTGAAAACAAAGTTTTCGTAGCGGTACCGTCCTCGTAGGCTACGACCTTCTGGTCCTCTAGCTCAACCTTTGAGATTGGAATTGGCCAAGTATATTCCTTCAATGTAAGCCAGGCTTGTTGGACGACTTCAGCGGCCATCGTAAGAGAAGTTTCGAGTTGAACACTTTCGCAATACTCCTTATGGTTGTCCCAATCCGCCCGTCGGTGGTCTCCGTTGCAGTAGACATGCGTTTTACATCCAAAACAAATCGTCGTCGCTGGTTTCTGGCAATGAGAGCATCTTTTCGCGTCCATGATGAGGGTATGTCGAGTGCTATGACGGTTGGAACGGAGAACAGGAATAAAATGCGACGGATGTTTGAGCGCTGGAGAAGAGGGATGAACAAGGGAGCCTGTCTTTGTGATTTATACTATTACCGTAGCAATCATTAGTGCAAGCCGGCCAGCAGCTGACAGGACTATGGTCATTGTGAAGCTGCAGCAAACAGTGTCAAACAAGGTGCCTTTCTGTGATACCGGATACACAATATTCAGCTGTATAGGGTATATAGCTCTATCAGACTAGAGACGAGTCGGGATCAAGCCACAATAGTGCTTGAAGCCTTTTTGTGCCCATGATGGAGTCGGCCCGAGCCAGAACGGGCTAGAACTTGAGTAAATGTCAGCTTCGTGGTGGCTAATGAGATCATAAGATGACTATGTCAAATCCTCCCAACAACATCCGATATGGTCTAGTGGCTAGGATTTGCCGCTCTCACTAGCAGAGTCAGTTCACTGTACAGTGCCGGCAAGGCCCGGGTTCGATTCCCGGTGTCGGAAAATGTTCTTTTTGCTCTTTCTGCATTAGTCCAGATGTGTTGGTGTTTGGACGGTATACGCCCGCAGTGAATTTTTGTTAGCGCGGTGCAGCAATTCCCGAAGTACCCCCCGACAAACCCACACGTCCCCGATTGGGGAACCCCAGTCGCTGGCTTCAAAGTCATGCCACGGCTAGCACACTGCGAGGGCATGGTTCCGCGTATAGGCAGGCACAAGATTATGTAGCCATCGCTTACAAGTCTGCAGGCTTCCGCGTTCGCACCCGCAAACTTGAGGAGCGTGGCCACGAGTGGCTGTAGATGGTCAGCGGGAGCTGGTGCACCGCCAGAAGTGTATGTCGACCACCATTTCTCGCCGATGCAGAACATCGTCATGCGGACGTGACAAAAACAAATAAGAGCACTGAATGTTCGAAAACTTGACATGTCTAATGATGATGTACCTGGTTAGTGGACCGAGGCGGGCTGTGAGCTTCACATGACGATCAGGCACAGGGCAAGGATTTTGGCGCACTTCGCTAGCTCCTACGTCATCGTTCTCCGCAACCCAGCAACATAACACGACCTCTCCTCCGACCTCACACCACCATCACAGCAATTGAAAACCCAATTTCACAAGTCCTTACTACCTTTACACCCGCTCCACATACCCAATCACTTCGAATCATATCACAATGGGTTGGTTCAGCTCCGACGAGAAGTCCGCTGCGGCTACGCACCCCGTCAACCTCGACGTCACCACAAAACACGGTTCCGCAGCCGAGCAAGATCGTTACGGCCAGCACTTCGGCGCCTCAACCGATGCCATCCGCCGCGGTGTCGACAAGGGCCTCGACAAGCTGCAACAAGCTGCCCTGGCCAGGGGCGAGGGTGCCGAGCAAGACCGCTACAGCGAACATCTGAGCATCGGTGACCGTGGCTACAACGCCATGAAGGACGCTGCCAAGTACAAGGGCGACGGCGCCGAGCAGGACCGGTACAACGCACACTTCAGCCCGGCCCTGCACAGCATCGATGCTGCCAAGGCAGTACAGGCTGCGGGAAGCGTGGCTGCAAACGGAGAGAAGAACGCCAAGTACTTTGGTCTTGGCTACGATGGTCAGCAAAGGGCGAAGCTGTTGGCTGGTGGCGGAATGGGTGCAGAGCAGGTAAGCTGGTGAATCCGTGCTGTCATGACGGCGATACTAATACCATTGCAGGACCGCCTTGGCTCGCATTTCCACCTGACCAAGGATGCTGTCGCCGATGCCGCCCAAAGACTGAAGGATGGTGCAAAGGATATTCTCCCCAGGCGATAGACGAATGGCTGCTCGATGCAACCACGACCGCAATGACGACTTTGGCGAAGACTGCAACGGCCGTATATGTGTACAACACATTGTATGTTCACAATGTATAAGTAAAAATAAATAATCTGTCATATGTCAAACTTGTTCCTCTTGTCTATCTACAAGTCGTGTGCAATGTGCTCGTGCAACGGTCGGCGTCCGTGACGTGACGATGGAAGATGGACTGCCAATGGTTAATGCTAATAATGAAAGCAGTCTATCGCTGACACACCCAGGAATGGTCTCGCTACACACTGTCGCACTGCCCAATGCATTATGGCTCAAGATCCGTCGTGCTTGGTAGCAATGGCTGTGCAGTGCCTAGCATTCAACAGAAACTATGACATCATACGCCTAACTGATGTATGCACGACCCTCACAACCACGGAAAGCTCGATCATAAAACATCGCCATAATCGTCTCCAAGCATGGTATCTATAATACGTCTTTGCGGCTCATCCGTCACGCCTTACGTTCCCCACATCTCCCGATCTGACATCAGCCCGACGCGTCCGACGCCAGAATAGCGCTAATGATCGACAAGCCATGGTCTGCGTTTCATGTCTACCCATACTTAGACGATTGTCAGCAAAATTCCTGTCAGCCTTATGATGGTTCGTGGTACCGAGCCATCTAGCATGTTTCAACAACAAACATTTCCTATGACAAGACAATATTGCGCCTCATGTACTTGGACGTGCATGGCATACCGGAAACTCGGGAGATCAGAATAGGAAGGGTAAGAGGAATCTGATGAGAGACAGGCACTGTCAGGCAAGAGGATCACTCTAAGAAAAGGGCTCGACAAGAGTACTATTTGTATCCAGACTGCAAGGAGGAGTGTATAAAGCCAACACATCACCACCACTTATCCAATCACTGACAACATCTTCGCTACAATTTTCTCTGCTACCTCCATATCGACCCGCCACCCTAGACTGCACGCCCAGTCCAAAACAACAGACATCGCATAAATTTTGGTAGATTCCGGGTCACGAGCTAAGACATGAAAATATTTATCTTCCAAGTCTCGGTTTTCCATGACAAATTCAGCGAGAGTTACTTCTCTTTCGTGCAACGACGACCAAAACTCTAGAGACGCTATGAGCATTGTGCCATAGCGAACGGACATGTTAACAATCTCAGGCAGCAATGCTCTTCCTCCACAATCCCAAGATGGAAAGTCCTGATGAACAAGACCCTCCTCTGCAAAGATTCTATTGACCTTGTCGAAAAGCGCCTTGGTTCCAACGGACAGGGTATAGGGCGAAAGGCCGAGTATCTCCTTCTGAACCTTTGCATCGTAGTTCGCGAGCTGTTTCAAGATACACACTTCGACAGGTTCCATCCATTTCGAATTTGCACTGAAATCTTGCGTTTCTGTATCCAGGCCTAACATGGCCAATAGCTGTGCGGGAACGTAAGCCTTCAGCGCAGGAAAGGAATGTTCCGGTGGCTTCTGGCAGTGCGGATCAGCTTTTTCCGACGATAGGTTCTCATCTGAGCGTATTGATGTCTTCTGACGTAGCAACAGGTTCCATGCAATATCGCCCATGGATAATTGGCGATAGTGCGACGGCAATAGTCCGGTTGTGGAATGGAAAAGACTGAGCGCCAGCGCGGGACTTTCAAACCCTTTTGTCCGCAAGGTCTTGCCAGCAGTACTGGTAGGGAAGAGGCTGCGATAGATATGTAGAATACGGTCCGCAAGAGAGGATTGAAGGTGATCTTTCACGGAGCTGCTTGTTATGAGGTTCTTATCCATGGCTGATATCTCCTCGTACCATACGTTTAGCATCAGAGCTACTGCACAATAGTCTCCAAAGTATTCCATATGGTCAAGCAAATGGAGAGAAATTGGGCGCAGTCTATGAATATGGTACTCCTTATGGAAGTGAAGATCATCCTTCAGACTCGGCCAAAGAGAGCCAATTATCTTCTGCCACTTGATTATGCTCGAAGAGTAACTCCATAATACCGGTAAAGAGGACAATGTGATAAATTGTCTGACGTGTAGTGGCTCCATGAAGTCGAGGAAGTTACGGAGACGCTCCACAAGTTCGCACATCATGCTGAACATAGCTCCATGAATCCTCTTAATGTTGTCGACGGTTGTTGGCAAAGTGAATCCAAATGTTTTTATCGCGAAGTCAGATTTAAGTAAGGATCGTGTAGGATCAGATACCTCCGGTACATTGGTGAAGCAGGAATATGCGAAGTCAGCGAACCTCGTCCTGATATCACATGTAAACTTCTGAACTGGTGTGCGGTAGGCATTCTTGTTCAGTATGTCCTTGCATCGAAGGCAAAGACCGTCGATCGAAGTTTCGCACTGCGGTTGAGATCAGCGACTCAGCCAAGAAGAGCTTGTCAAACATCGATTTACGCACCTTCCTTTTGTTGAGGCGACATCCAAAGCAGGACCACGAAGCTTTTGTCGTCACCTTTCGACGCTTGAGTTGGTGTTTTTTACGTTCACGATCAGCTTCGGGGCTTGTATGAAAATAGACGTTGTCAAGCGCACGACTGGACACTGTTTTGTCATCGCCAGCGTTATTTGAACCACATGTTTTCCTTTTAGCGATTGGTCGTTGGTCAGCACCGATTCCAGAGATGGCTGTCATGGTTTGGGAATGGAGCAGGGGAGCCGCAATTTCTACTGGGTCGTTACAGCCTGTAGCACAATGCTGCATCGTCGAATAAGGCGACAACCCACGCGTCACTGTAACAAAGCGATGGCCTTGACGCGAAGCGATGTTGCCGTTCCACGGTGGAACAGTAAGAGGACTCGTTATATTGTAGGCCGTGTCATCCATCTGATGTGTTTCCAGAATATCTGTATCAACAGCGACGGATCCAACTCCTTGCGGCGTAAGAACTGATTCTGTGTTGCGACAATGATTAGTAGCTTCCGAAAAAGATACGTTGTTTCCGTGGTCGCCTGTATCCAAGATGGAAATCATTCTGTTGTAAGGTGGTGTTCTGGGTAGCAATGAGGTCTCCGTGAATGGCTCACGATACATCGCCTGATAGGGAGCACTAGGATCGTCGACGTGGATATTAGGAAGGGTAATGCTCATCTGATTTGGATCATGGACACCATTCTGGGAGGGATTCAGATCAAACGCGGTATCTGGAATCTGCTGTGTAGGCCAGACACCGAGGTTGAAGTCACGCATGCTGTCGCTATCATTTGGCATAGGGCCGTGGTTGAAAAGCTGATGTGAATGCATGAGCGCGTTGGAAGGACCAGATTCCCCACCATAGTCGGTGATTGTGCTACCTATGACGGGATCCATATAGGGAGCATCTATAATCCGGGAGTGTGAGCTTGGTGAGAAGGCTTTTGCCTTCTCTAGGATCTCATAGCGTGCTACGGTATGTCGCAACTCCGCTTCGGCGAGCTCCTGTTGCACCTCTTCTGGCAGGCCTGATCCTTGTCCGTGGTCACATCCAATAAATCCTGCTCGTTGTTGATAAGGCTGGAAGGTCATCCAAGAAGTTGAATGAGATATATCTCGTGGGTTCGCACTCGTTGGAAAGCTATTTAGTGTGTCGCGACCGTCTATAGGTAGCATAGCTTGTGGTGTGTTTGTTTGGGTGACTGCTATGGGCATCGTGTTGAGTTCTCGATGAGCCCATTCAGTTGCATATTCATCTCGCTGTTCGGGTTCTGCGGCGGCGTGTTGGCGATCCATGGCGGTGGCAGACGAGGCTGATTTCTGGCTGCTAAGAAGATTCCCAGATCCTTGCGCACGCGGTGTAAGGTAAAATAAAGTAGGTTGGAGGAAAGCTCCCAGAAGGCTCTGAGATATTGGAGTTTGACATGATATTTAGAAATGGAAAACGTCGAGTCTTTAAGGGCAGTCGATGGAGGCTGAGCGCATGTGTTGACGAGTAGACAGCAAGTGACGAGGCTGAGGGACAACTTGTCAGCACAGCGTTCCGCACCCCAAAGCAGATTAGACTTCCCCACCTCTGCCGCTCGAGCCTTCCTTCCGCAGCTGGAAACGGACTCGCGTTATCTTGGCACCACGTCTTTCCCGTTCCGCAGCCGCATCGAGATGCGCGAAGGCTTATGCCATGAGAGCTTCATTTCCACTGCGCGTAAGTTGCAGGATCTGGATGCAAAGCATAATGCGTATAAATAAGACGAGAGGAGCCTGTAATGCAATGTTCGGTAGATTAAAGCACAAAGACTCGGTTGAAGCCTATCATTTTCGCTTGACAGCTCCTGACTACGCCACTCGGAAAAAGCAAGCAACACACCAATCATGTGGACTCGATCGGACATACTCGCGCTTCTTCAACTTCTCGCCATGATTGTCTTTGCAACAGTCCATGCTGCATGGTGTCTGGCCATCCATCGAGGTGCGTATTCTTTATTTGCGCAAGACCATGTACTGATGTTCCTCAAGCTACTATTCGGCGTAGGGCGCATGCAATCAGACCTAACATGTTGACCGAAACAAAGGCTACACCAAGCCACCGCCGTAACTATCCCTCCAGGATTATCGCGTACCAACAGGTTCACTAGCGACGTGATGCCTCCACTGATCTTGGTCTGAGGTGGGGACCTGACAGTCTCGATTCAAAGCATCAGCCTTGGAGGGAATCGAACGGCGCATGGTGGTATAAGTAAGCCTAGGCGCGTCTTCTGTGCTAGCAGACAGTTTGACGGACTCAGCCTTAGTGGATGAAGAGAAGTTTGTATATAGACCCTCCGCCGCAATCGCTTCGGGCGTAAAGAGAGTGCCTACGTTGTGTTGACGAGGTTCGACGGCTGGATCAAGGTCAGGATGTGTGTCGGTGCGTTTGATGGTGGAAGTCTCCCACGAAATATCAAGTGCCGCTAGATCCATGGCGGAGAGCGGCCAGGGGAGGGGAGCGCAAGCCATGCGAAGACTAGGGATTGGTTTTCCAAGAGGCAGAAAGGTCACAAGCGTCCAGTATGCCAATGCGCCTTTTGC